CCCCCGCAGAGGAATATCCCTTATCTTTCCCTCACTGGCAATCAAAATCAGTTTATTTCAGCAATACGAAAAAATCACATTAATGTTTGTTATTACTCAACAAAACAAAATCAACACTATCATTTATTGCGATGCGAGATATCGTCATCATGTCCATCATGTCCCGATCATGCAATTGTATATGAGGCGCGTTCATTTACCCTGCTCGAAGACATTCCAAGGCAGGACCTAATACAAAGAAGCTCGCGCTTGATCCCTTCTCTGAGGTCTCCCACACCTCTCACACTCTCGAGTCGAGGTCGCTGGTGGAGGACGCCGTCCGGCGTCACGCCGCAGCCCTCTCTCAGGCGGACGGCCTCTCTGTTGCGGAGCAGCAGCTGCGAGTGAATTGGTAAACAAGTGTTCCTGCAGAAACCTCGCGCTGTCCCACTGAAGAGTTCCCTTCTCATGCGGGAGATCAGAAGCATCCAATTTGCAAAGCCTGATGAGCCACAACTAAAAACTTAAATATGATTGAAGGGCCATATTTTCAGTATTCGAGTGATCCATACCTGACATCCCTGTGTTGATGATATCGAAACTTTGCCTAACTCTGAAACGGGGGAAGTGGAAATGGAACCATGCGTGATTGACAGGCCGTACTACGTATAACGCAGTGAAACACATTGAGGTGATTTCGAATTTCTGAATACACTAGGAACAAAACGCCTTAAATTTGAACGTAACCTATTCTTACATTAAAGGCTCTGTTGTCTCGGACAGGGCGCGTACGCTAGGCGCACACTTTTCTCGGCCGACATGAATGAAAAGGACTTTCACTTTTGACTAAAAACCTTTCGCGGGCCACAATAAATGGCACCGCGGGCCGCCAGTTGGACAACCCTGCGCGAGGTGATAGAGTTTCCCTCTCCTACGTCTTCACAGAATTTAAGGATTATATCCTCCTCGGAATAAATATTCCGATACTTATTCAAAACCATTAGGCAATATATAACGTACGAAAAACAATGTTGGTTGATTGGTTCCTGCTTAATGCACTGCCGTACCGTTCAACCGATTGCGATAAAACATCGTCAACTTATTGCTGGTACTTATGGGAAGAGTATTGCACGATGTGAATGTGCATATGCTTGCACACATAGATACGCGTTGATGATGATTTTATGCTGACACAAGCGCCCTGCACAGGACGTTAACGGCGCTCGATGCAACTTGCCGCACCCTGAAGTACGATTATGAAGACGTCTTCATTGCGATTGTGAAATTTCTCCCGAGAGAGACAGTTACAGAGAGAGATAGAGGAAGACAGAGAAGCAGAGAGAGAAACAAACAGAGACAGAGAGTCAGAGAAAGAGTGAGAAACTGAGAGAGACACAGACGTATTGAGAAAGACATGGAGAGAGACACGTAGAGACTCGGAGAGACGGAGACAGAGAGGCACAGGGACAGTGAGGGTACCAGAGAGAGAAAGGGAGAGGAAAGAAGAAAGAGACAGATGGAGGGCGGGACGTCAGCCGGATTCCGCTAGTAAAATATATAATTGGGCTTGGCACAAATTCAAAATGTTTTATAATTGGAAAATAATGAAGTACAATGCGTTATGTTAAAATAATTCTGTGAACAAATGATTCAACACATAATATACAGCTTTTGGTGGTGTAACTCGGTGTTATTGAAATTCATCACAATCATTTATTAGTCACACAAAGGAATGAATTCTAGGTACATTAAGTGGAATTAATTATATTTATAGCTGTTCTGCCCACTCCTCGCTCTTTTTAGTCCTCCATTTTAGTCCCCGTCCACCCTGTTTCATCCTCTGCGTTGCTCTACCTCTCCCGATCATGCCCCGCCTGCCCGCCCCACCCGCGCACCTCACCCGTCACACCTCAGCGCATTGCGCTTTGCCATTAGAACCGTGACACACACACACACACGCTGAAAACTGTAGGAGAGCTCACCTGTCCCCCCCCTTCGCCCTTCGTTGGTGGTAAAGGTGGAAATCAATTTATTGTTCCGCGTCTGACGCTCTCAAATGAGCACTCAATCACATCTACACGTGGTCTAGGAACATGACAATCGATTCAAGCGCTAGCTGTTTATTATTATTATTATTATTATTATTATTATTATTATTATTATTATTATTATTATTATTATAGCCCATTCAATCCTTTGCGAACTTTGGCCTCCTCAAGATTCACGAACAGTTGTTAGTATATTAAGAAAATTAAGCTCGAAAGAATAGTACTTGGTCGGAAATCGCTGCCCCCTTACCCTCCCGCATTCACACTTCACAACACACCACCGAAAGCCAGACCTCTCTCAACCTCACACCGGCCTGGGTGGCTGGGGTACCAACTGATGTTATTTCAGTGCTTTTCACCGGGTGGTCGTAGGATTCGAGTCCGACGGCGACTGGGTTTTAGACACTGGCCACACAGCTAGGTCGAATTCGGGCGATGTTTGGAGGAGAATTGATCGGTGGTTTTCTGTGGTTTCCTCGCTCAAGAACAGGGAATGCCGGAGAAGTATCCTAACAAACAGGTCACTTACCACCCACGATCTTTCCTTCCTCTTCCTTGTCCTATCCTCACCTCTCACTTATTCTCACACGTACAAGCACTACACTAATATACATGTCGGGAGACCTGTCGGAAGCATTGAGTTTGTTCCGGCTACGGCGGTGCTCCGCTAGTGGGAGATACCTGGTTGAATGAAACCTCCCTAGCCGACATGTAGCTCGGCGCCGGTTCTCCCCATTCCGCGGCGCAAGATCACCGCCAAGTTCCGTAATAAAACCACGCACCATTCTTACGAAACTCATGACCATATCACTTGGCGCGCCGGGAAACTCGAAATAATAAAAACAATCGACCTCTCACGAGAGGTCATGAACAAGCAGAAGAGACCCGACGCTCCGCGTGCGCGGTGAAATAGAGACGCGCACGCCCTCAAAACAAAATTTAAAAAAAGACCATCCTCAGCGGCCTGAGCCAGCGCCGACAATCAGACGCTTCAGAAGCCACAGGAGTGGGGGTTGTCGCTCATTGAACGGGCTGGCAATAAGACACCCGAAGAGAGAAAAAAACAACCAACGTATTGACAGTGGTTTTAAAGAGGTATCCGTGTTAGACCCACTGAATCTTGAAACTGCAGAAACAGAAGCGAATAGATTCCTTGCCCACATTAGAGTAGCAAGAGCATTAAGTGTTAACGAGGAGCCCCTTGTCAACAGTTGTAAGTTTCCGAGCTCAGAAATCCTACCAAAGCTAAGCAAAGGGAATTACGAGGTGACCAGATAACTCTATGGCAAAAAACACAGCTAAAAACATCGAGAGAAGGGTTCAGAGTATTAGGAAACGGGTAGATAGGAGTATTACAGAGTGTATTAAACGACATACTTCGCAGTATTGGGATAGGAGTCAGTTTGGGATATGGAGATGGATGGTGGTTACGAGTTACGCGAATAGAATATGTAAGGATTATCAAGAGAGAAACGATTTGAAATGTCGAGAGGGGTATTACAATTGACCCATGAACGAGACTGAAAGTGAACAGTGTAATAGCGAAAGACAGGAATTGACGGCATTCGCAACACCAACGAGGTTCGTGAGAAATCGGTGCATCAGTTCACATCAGTGATATCAGCTGACCAAGCTGGTAGCAACGAGGAAGTCGCACCTTATGAAGGGGCGGTCATATTCAACTAAGAAGCGGTGTCTGCATCCCTTCTTCTGAAGACTTCTGAAGGCCTCTTACCTCGAAACGGCTTAAATCCTTTGCTTCGAGTGTTTCAGGGGCATGTTTCGTATGTTGTCCTAACGAAAACAGTTTACGCGATAAGGCAACGTCGTCATGTCAAAATTTATAAATTATACTAGCAAATCAAACAGAAAGCAATTACTAATTATATTTTTCTATGCAATTGTGTGAGTGTTACATTGACTTAAATGTTTTTACCGAGGTACTTTTTCAAATAAATCCATACAAATACTGTTTTAATAACACAGGCACACAAAAAAAGGTTGTCAGACCGAAAGATTTGACGCAAGTTTCTCTACGTATATTATCGTCCTGAATTCGAATCTAAAGCCCTCCGATTTAAAAAAGACACTGGAGGAGGGTGACACACTTCTTGCTTCGGATTTAGATTATTCGCGACATACATGTAATAAAATAATAATGATAATAAATAATAATAATAATAATATATTTATTTTGGCCACAATTGCGTCTTTGCCAGTGGTACCAATTAATTACACTGTCCAAATGAAAATGAAGTGACATTAAATATTTCATATAAAATACAATGAAAACGAACAATGAAGCTAATAATGAATATAATGTATTACAAATAATCGTGTAGGAACAGTATGTTTGAAGTCTTTTGGTCTGACACCTTTTTTTGCTGTAATTGATGTTGTGTATACTCCTGTGAAACTTAAGGATGAGAGGGGTTGGTCCTTATAGTATAGTATATAAAAATAATGCTCAATTTTATTACTGTAAATTTTGCATTTACTCTTTGGCTTAAATGAATGAGAATGATTTCATGAAAGCAGGGGGAACGGCAGAGGCAAAGGTGTCAGCAGGGGAGGGGGCGAGGGTGAGAGCGGTGACAAAGGCGGGGGTGGTTGCGAGGGGTGAGGCAATGAAGAGGGTGAGGGCGGGAGCGGAAGTGGGGATAAGGGAGGAGGAGAGGGCGGATATAGAGCGGTGCCTCACCTTCAGGAGAAGATTATGGTTTCATGAAATCCTAAGGGACAATGAGGGAGGGGACGTGGGTGGGAGCGAGGGCTGGGACGAGGGCGAGCGCGGGAGCGGGAGTGGGGATGAGTGCGGAGGAGATGACGGCTGCAGAGCGGTGCCTCACCTTCAGGAGAAGATTATGGTTTCATGAAATCCTAAGGGACAATGGGGGGGGCGACGGCAGGGGCGAGGGCTGGGACGAGGGCGAGCGCGGGAGCGGGAGTGGGGATGAGGGCGGAGGAGATGACGGCTGCAGAGCGGTGCCTGACCTTGAGCAGACGTATCTCTCGGAGCGCGATCTTTCGGATGAGCGGGTCGTCCTCGGACTCGACAAACTTCTTGATGGCCACCACTTGGCCCGTGTCGCGGTTGCGGCACTTGAACACCACGCCGTAGCTGCCCTCGCCCAGCTTAGCCAGCTTCTCGTAGCGCTCCATGGCGCGTGACGTGGCACGCGTCCTGCCAACAAACACACACACACACAAAGGGCAATGAAATAATTTTACTGTCTGTAGTATTGTCAGAACTGTCATTAAAATCTACCTCTCCCTGTACTAACATAGACACATGTGTGTTACATCCATAATGGCAATGTAATAACAATTAACAACACTAATTATAGAAATGGTAACAAGATGATCATAATAATAATATAAAGATGATTTAAGGCTTAAGAATTGTAATTCAATAATTATTATTGAGTAAATAAAGGCACCAGTGTTATCTAGATATCTTATTTATTTGCTCATCTCTTTCAATTACCTATATGTGCTGATTTATCTATTCATTTGAACATTCATTTTTCGATGTTCATAAATTTCCGTTTCTAAAAAAGAATGCTAAGAAGACGCAGATTACTGAATCAAATAAATAAGTTGCCTAGACAAAGTTGGGTGTATTCATTCATAATCTATTCATTCAAAGGTATCAACTTCTGCCCAACAGCTTTATTATTCATTTCTTTTACTGACACTTGTGCCTGTTTACTTAATTCTGTAGTGTTATTTTTTAATGCTACACTAATATTTTTTCAAGTAAGGTAATTCAGTGTCCTAAATTTTTCTTTATGAATTACGTGCATAAATAAAGCATTGTAACGCTTCGTTTCACAGTGCGATTATTTTAAATTCCTTTTAATATTTTTCCACTCCCAGACAACATGCAACTACGAATACATTATCTTTGCTTAATACTTACCAAAGTGAAACAAAAACTACGCTAAGACTTCTAAAACAGCATGCAAGTGCTTTTGATCGCATTCATTGAGATAATTCTCTGAAATATAGAGCATCCAGCATAGATATGCAGACCATAATTAATATAAAAAAACCACATTGACCATGTTTTTTCAAATTCGTTATATTTTTAACTAAAACGTAAGTTGTTTGTTTCCATTTTCTTACAAACAAAAAATTTAGATCGTGACATTAAAGTTTTGTATTGTCAGTTTTATGAATCATTCTAGTAATTCAGTAATATTGGGTCAATATGCATTTGTTGCGAAGAAACTAAAAAAATATGGTTTCACTGGAGTTTGAGAAGAACATTACAAAGGTTTTTCCATATTATTTCTTTTTCTTAACATGTCGCGATTAAACTCGATCATATACTTTTATCAAGCATTGTCTCCTTCAATAATATGTAAATTACAAACATCAAAAGTAGAGATATTAATCTCTCCTTCCTTCCACGTGTAGTGTAGTGATTTTGTTTTTTCTACCTCTTTCATTCAAGACGGTTTCTTACCCAATCTCCATAGCAAATAATTAATCAACTAGCCGTAGGTAGGATGATTTTGTTATAGATTTGTGTGACATTTACTGTTCTTTTTTAAACATTCTAATTCTATTGAACAAATTTAATTATTTAAATGCGTTGTTACTCAGTAACACGGCCACAATTTGGATTTCTTTACGACTGCGGAATATATTATCCAAGCGTAGTAGCATCTAACAAGGTAATGGAAATGGTAACAATTATAGTTATTGCAATACGCGAGTTCAAAGTAGTCGTGCGTGAATGTTGACGCGTGTAGGCAACTTTACCCTCCTCCTTCATTCGACGTAATACCTCCAAGCGGTCAGTGTTCAGGGTAAATTGCGTTAACCATGCGAGAACACATTCCCACGCTCAGAACGGCTATGGATGGGGGAGAGGGAAATGTTTCTCAGCGCCGCCCTCATTTTGTTCACAGACACACAATTAACAAACGTGAAGCGAACTCGAAAGGTGGCTGTGAACACCGAACGCTTGGAAAGGCCCAATACGCGGCCGCTAGAAGCGTCATTCTCTGCAGTCTCTTCCCTGCGGCAAGGACCACGTATTCCTCTTTTCACAAGTAGATGCAACGGACGGTGGGCGGGTGTTGCTAGTGCACAGAAGAAAGGTTCCCTGCAAAGCCACATGGAGTAAAGGGGAGATTTCGAAAATGAACTTTAGCAGCCTGAATTTACGGTCTCCAGAATAGCTGTCAATCCCAACGTAATTCCTCCCGAAACGTACTATATTTCTGTTGTTTCCTGGTTCTTCCTTACGAGCTTTGGTAGGACATCTACAATAAATAATTGCCTTGACCTATTGTCACTTATTAACGATTATTACTTGCAAATGATAGTGTTTGTTACATTAATTTTTGTATTTATTTCTAAATATCTTGATTGTTTGTCAAAATGTTAGTCGAGCAAATGTAGTGTTTTTTCCGTGCTTTACACTTTTTCTTGTTTTCCTTCACGTCTAGTTTGTGTTCATTTATACTCCAGATTTGTGATTGCCATGTTGTCTAATACCACCTGTTTTCTCTATGTGAACAGTTGAATGGGCAAAAACCCATCAAATATTTAAATATAGAAGACAAATTCAGACTGAAGCCTGACCTTTCACAATCCGCAGTCCATTACTCCGAGGAAATGCGCAAGGTCCTGATGTGTTGCAAATAAGTGCGAGAGTCACGCGAGTTTATTTTCGCTCGCTTTGCCACGGTTTCATTTCTCGGACCCATTTTGAGGGTAGCATGTCGAGAATTGACAGTGGGCACCTCCGAGCGTTCTTTTCTGAACGAAAGCTTCTAGGCAACTGTAAAATTCAATGAATTCGTATTTTGTGCTAATTTTTATCTTGCTGGTTATATTCCCACAAATGGCCACTGTGACAAATTATTTTAAATATAGGAGTAATTTATATGTACTATTCCACTCGTGAAATTAAAACCAATAGTGTTTAACTATACATACAAAAGTTCCCAATTAGGGAGGTGTATCTCAAACCGTTTATTGCTTTTTCTATTATTTTATTCTTACCGCTCTACCTTACTGGCCAATCATAAATTGTGACTCATCTATTCTAGAAGGTGGATATATCGATTGCTATGTTGACGTCCTATAACTAACTGCGTAATGGGTATAAAATAAACTCTTTGATTTTAAAATTAGCTTTCAGTTATTATCAATATTTGGCGCAATTTGGAACTCTGTTGGACGTAATTTCATTCGTGGATAGTCCTATTAAATGTAACTCGTGCTTTGTAAATACTCAGATAAATTCCATCCTCGCATCGTGATTCGGAGGTTAATCAACAATTTCCAATGCACTCGTGGTATTACCTGTTATACGTATTATACCTATTATATCCAAAATTCAAGAAAAATATCAATGAAGAAGAAACATAATGAAGTGTATGACGTTTATTAAATCCAATACTTGTGTGTAATGAATATAAAGTGTGTAATGAATATAAAGTGTGTAATGAATATGAAGGACATGAATTATGAGCGTAGTTTAAGATGGATGAGAAAAATAGAAAAACATTTGTGATCGTTTTTTGAGAATTAGTAGTAGAGAAACTGAGCTTCGTACAGACTAAGGTTCAAAGATTTTATGGGCACCGATCTGCCGAATGATTACATTTCAGCGTCCGCTGTGACGTCTCGTCAACGATATTGACGAACGCTTCAAGTCGTGTCACATTTATGGACGGGTATTGGAGAATCGGGAAACTCCTGTAATTCATGCGTTAGTTTAGAATGCGACTCTCAAGTCTCTCAACCTTTTTAAGCATTGGACTTCCCTTCTAACATCCTCACTTTGCTTTTTTTTTTGTAGAGAAGACTTAATTTAATTGCTGTTAATGTACAGCCCGGGGCCTTCTAATTTACGATCTGTTATTTTGGGAGCGTGCTTGATTTAAACTACCAAGTACCTCTGCCGTTATTTAAAAAATGTAGTTGCAAAGGGTATCGACGTGAACTTTGAAATTTCTTCAAGTCTTTGGATAGAAATAAATTTAGGATATAGCGGGAAGTGAGTAGTGACTTTGACAACAGCATATTGATAAATGGAATACACAACGTTCTGTTTTGATGGGGGGGGGTATTCAAACGTAATGCGTCAGAACTACTTACTAAGTTACGTGAATGTGATCGATCTGGAGGTCGAGACCACTAAGTCATCATTGGTGATCTCGAAAAGAAGGGCTGAGGTTCGAATTCTACATGGGTTTAGACGTTAATCTGCTTTCCCCTCTACCATTCACCACCTATCAAAGAATATCTCAGAATAACCTATCTATGTGGCGTAGGAGTCCGAGAAGTGAGATATACTGCGATTTATGCAACTCTGCCACAGGCAGTATCAGCTGTTGACAGTTTCATCCAATCGGGAGTTTGAACGTCACCACCCGTGGTGATGTCACTATGGTGACGTTCAAGCTCCCGAATGGATGACACTGTCAGTAGTTGATACCTGCCTGGGGCAGAGTTGCGGAAGTCGCAGTATAGGAACACGATACTACATATGGGGGGCTACTCCATAGTACCTGCCCTCCAGTCACTCTGTGAAGCTGGCTAATGCAGGATTAGGGATGCGACATGTGTGTTTCCAAATGTTTTTTAGAAACATCGACAATTTAAACATCGATTTATTCACCCGATGTGTTTTAACATCAACATGTGTACGCTCCGTTTTTTGTTTTAAAAGTTTTCTTTGTGAAAGGAAAAAAATCTTGTTACATTTTGTGAAAGTTAATATATGAAGTAAGTGACTATAATACTTTAGCTCATGTGTTCGGATGAGGAGATCGCTGTTTGGAATTCATCGAGTAGGCTATCCTTCGCCTGAAGGATGACCATCAAAGTCCTGGTACGCCTTTCCGCGTAGTTATCACTCGGAAAAGTGGTCGAAGAATGCGCCGCAGGCGTGCAGTTTCCCCGCTGCTCTCCGAACCCGTCTACGGCGAATTTAAATCTCTGACCCTTTGAGATAAGACTGACAGCTTTGATTGTATCTCAGTTTTCGTTATTATTATTATTGTTATTGTTGTTATTATTAATGTTGTTATTATTATTAATACGTTTGCTTTTCCTGTTATGTTTTAATTATAATTTAATGAATAAGGTCGCAGTCAAATTAAGTTTTCACCCACTCTACTTTAGTGTTAGAGGTACCTAAACCAGTTTTCACTTCATCGATGATTTTGGGGTGTTGAATTATTAAGACGTTTTAATCTCGTACAACGATATTTTAATACTTTAATGTTTTGTTGATGATGGTGCATCTCTAACCATGATGCGTTACTTCTACGAGCGCTATATTCCTCCACCGGCTAATTACCTGCTGCACGTGTGGGTCGACAGGCCACGCTAGTACGGAATAGTATTTCTACGCACAAGGATCCAATCTGACCCTCCCCTAAGCAAATTGTGTTGAGATGTAATAATGATGAAATGATGATGACTTGAAAAATGGGGAGAATAGGCAAGGATGTGGAGATGAGGATGAATTAATTATTATGCTTTCCGGGACCGTCTACTACTATGATCATTAGTCCCGTAAATGAGTCCCGTTAGTCCCGCAAGTTTTTCCTCCCCTGCTCAAACCGGCGCCGACCTGCACGTCTTTTTCTCTCCTTTTATATTTCTCCTAGGGCACAGCCCGAGCCGGTCCAAGCTCCCGGCTGGTCGTACATGTGTGATGTAACGGGAGAGGTGCGTGCGTGTGTGTGTATGTAACGAGAGAGGAGTTTACAAGGATGAAGAAGGAAAGGTCGTGCGCGGTCAATGATCTTTTTTAAGGTACGGCATTCGCCTGCTATTGTTAGGAGAAATCATGGAAAACTTCCGGTCGGAGAAGCCGGCCGCCAGAACGTCCCTCCAGGTAGTAGTCGAATTCGACCCAACTATGTAGCTGTGTTGGAATCCGCCCGCCACCGACTAAGACCTCCAGTTCAGAGATGCTGCAGTGGCCACAGCTGTTGCCCTGAGCCACCTCAGATGGTATAATGAGATGCAGATGAAACGGGAAATCACCGATGAAACCTGCCGCGCTCTCACTTTTCCAATCGAAAGTTCATGTATCGGACGGGTATTAAACCCCGATATCAGTAGTGGAAGGCGGACAGTCTAGCCGCTCCATCACTCACACTTTTTGTATAATAGATCTAGGGTGCACTCCACTACGTGTTCCCTTTCTCAATAGTCTGTAGCTGTTGGCCAAGTGCACAGGGAGAGAAGGGGCGGGACTGACTTGACGGGCTGGAAGCCGGACCACTTGGGCACGACGCCCTCGATGTACACGAGCCCCAGCGCCGGCACGCGGATGCACGCGCGCCCGCCCACGTGCTCGAAGCCCGAGCTGTCCATGCTGCGGCCGTCGGTGGAGCCCGTGGCGGTACTGGAGCCGGCCGCCATGCTGGACACGGCGCTGGCGCCCGGGTGCGACGCCGCGCTCACGTGCGCGCGGGCCAGCGAGTCGCTGGCGGCGGCCGCGGCGGCGCTCGCGGCCGACGACTCCGCCAGCCCCACCGCGCACTGCGCAGTTCGGGCGAGCGGCACCGCTTTGGTGGCAGTCGACAGTAATAGAGCGTGACGAACGCGCAAAGCTTGTTTTGCAAATGAAGGACCGTTGGAGACGAATCACGTTCACATACGTTTTGTGTTTGCCTTGGCAAGTCTTCGACAATTCAATAACGAAGACAGCAAATCTATACGTCCCAGAGATGTCGATATGTGTCGAAATGACTAGTCAAACTTACTGTACTGCTATTTATGCAACTCTGCCCCTGGCTGGTATCTTCTGTTGGCGGTTTCATCCAGTCAGGAGATTGAGCGTCACTATAGTGACGTCAGAGTAGTGACGTTCAACCTCCCGATTGGATGAAACTGCCAACTGCAGAGACATGCCAGGAACAGAGTTGCGAAACTCGCAGTATAGACTCGACAAAAAGTATTCCACAATGACAAAAATTCTCACTAATCCGAATGTTTGTTTTTCCTTCATATTCACGATTCCAATAAGAGTATGCGGAATCATTAAAATATTTCCGGTGGATTTCAGGATAATAAAGAGTCAGAGTCGCTTAAACTTCTTTAATGTTGTAACCCTACTACTTATGACATGTTAATAAAGGTTATTACAATAATGAAGAAAGTATTGTAATCTAAAAGAAAGATTTTATGACATTTTGAGTTAATCTTTTGGTATATTTCGTTTAGTTTTCGTTTACTATCAAGTTACGAAAGGTTAATTTAGAAAAGAAATCGGGCATTCTGTGGCCCGTTTGTTAAGTTACTGCTACGACATTCGCCAGATATTGATAGAAGAAACCATCTATCAAAATAACCGACGGCTACAATTATCCTCCAATCAGCGGCTGAATTCGACTTAGCAATATAGAAAATATCGAAAATCTGACACTGTCAGCACTCGAACCCTAGGACCTCCTGGTTAGAGTCGCTGCAGAGGTAGCAGCAATGGCAAAACTCTGCCAGCCTTTGAAAAATATATTAAAGAAATTAAAAATCAGTAGCACGTGATTAAATTAGTTGCGCGTTCATTCCAGCCACGATGCCATACCTTGGCATTGGCTCACGGTATCATTGAGTTAAGTTTTCGTGATTTCTGGTCAATCTCAGTCTTTGTTAGGTGGAATTTGGCGGTTGTAAATCTTCAACGGCGAGCGCATAGAACCTTCGAAAATTAATTATGTTAGTACATGAAAACAAGTAACTCATTTTGAGTTGTATTTTCCTGGTTAATTATCTGTTTTTATTGTATAAAAATGTATAAAATATTCGAAAAACGATGTATACAATATATAAAATTGTATGTTCATTTTGAATTATGCTAGAAATAAATTATTTTAATGCTTCAACAATGTAAGTAATAAATTGTTCACAATTTTTACAAAAGACAACCATTTTTTTCAGCTAATTATTTTGAAGAGTTAAAACCTGACGTCTATCGGTGTCGAGATAATTTCAATAAACTGGATTTAGCCATCTACGTGCTTAGGAAAATGCACTCCACTCCTTTTGTAAAGTATCAATGCCTCTTCGGAAATAGGGATCGATAGGGCCGTCTCCCAGTAATGAAATTTCTTTCTCAACAAGAAATTGGCGGGGACCAAAGGTAGTGAATGAGTGAATGAGTGGGAGAGTGAGTAAATGAGGGAATGAGCGAATGATGAGTGAGTGAAGGAGTCAGAGAGTGAGTGAACGTGAAGGAGTGAGTGAACATGAAGTGTGTGAGTGAATGAGTGAGTGAGTGAATGATTGAGTGAGTATTGATTCCGGGAGCATCAATAATTCAGTTTAATAATAGTATGAGTAAGCATGTTATATACCGGAAAGTAGCGAATTTCTTTCGCCGCTGGAACGTGAAACACTACCTACATACATGTCAACTTGCGAATTTTCCCTCTCCAGAAATCTCCTTCATTGGGGCACCATCCCAGCCGGGACAAGCTCTGAACTCCAGTTTGTATGGTAATCTTGTGTTTGTGCAACAAGGACGAGGAAGGAATTATCTTGTGTCGTTAGGGATCCGTTTTAGAATTCTTCTGATAGGAAGTATTCCACCTTAAACTACCAATCAGAACAGCCAACCAGCATATATCTCCTCCAGACAGTGCTTAAATACAACCTAGTTCTCTAGCTAGAGTCAATAATCGGCCGTCGTCGGAACTAAAACTCTAGGATCTCCCACCCAAGAATGGTGCAGAGGCAATAATATTACCATTGAGCTACCTCAGCCGTTCAGGAGAATCGAAAACAAAATTTTACACCGATAACTTTTTAAATACAGACGGTTGATTTGTAACATGTTTCCACATGAAAAAGTTCAAGGAAAATCCAATGTATTCAGCGGTTACAACCGCCGGATTTTACCGAAAAATAACCGAAAATCGGTTATTGTGGAGACAACCGCGATGCGTACCGCGCCGGTGGAGTGGTGGGAGGCAGCAAGCGGCGCGCCCGTGATGGGCGGCAACGGCGCCTGCTTGGGCGGAAACGCCGGGGACGGCTTGCTCGGAAGGACCACCGGGGGCGGGGGTGGCTTGGAGGGAGAGGGCTTGCTTTCCATGGGCTTGGGCAACTGCGAGGGCTTGGGTGGCGCGGGCTTAGACGGCACTTTGTTGAGGGACGGCGCCTTCTGGGACGGCTGCGACCCCGCTCCCCGCAGAGGCACCAGTCGCGACAGGAACGAGCCCAGAACCCCGCCGCCGTGGTTCGCCATTTCACCCTGTCGGTCAGTCATTTTTCCCTTGATATTGTTGTTATTTATTTATTTATTTATTTATTTATTTATTTATTTATTTATTTATTTATTTATTTATTTATTCCAGTGACGACGTGACGAGTAGTTGATAGTATTATTGATCAAGTGAATGATGAAGGAGCAGAGGTGGAATGTATCCCAGCAGAAACGGAAGAACCCCGATAAAATAAGCTGAGAACTCCATGGACCACAAATTTCTCATGAGTTGGCCAGAGATCGAAGGTTCAGGCACTAGCCTTCACGATACTCCTCCTCGCGATACTCCTCATCCCTGGTATATTCATTCTGGTATTAAAAAACGTCGGTTCAGATAGTGCAGATGGTTGAGGAGCACGTTTTACGCGAGAATGGAGGTTAGTACATTCGCAGAGGGAACGATAGATGAAAGCCCAGGTTTCCGCAGCCGGAGTGAATAAAAACACAGCTGCATTGTTGCCAACGTTTCTCAGTCATACTGCGACCTTTCTCAGGGCAAAATGCAGCCACTGTAGGCAGGAACTGTAAGCATTTTGTTCTCAGAAAGGTCGCAGTATGACAGCCGAACCTTGCCTTTAGACACTACGTCTTCCGGACAGCCAAGTTTCTAGGGATGCTAGATGTATTATGTAGCGAGCCAATCGAAATAACCGAGGAACTTTGGGATGCGTGGGCAACTTAGAGCCCCTCCCCGCGGGGTAGCTTTTTCAAAAGGACCCTCAGGGTATTAATACGAAGAATTAAGCCGATGGAATCATCGTGTTGCGCTTCTCTATTGTAAAGTAGCCCGTGTGTGCGTCGATGTGTAGAGAATATTGAATGTTCGTTGAGGAGGCAGCAAACTCTGGAAAATCTTTAAAATTAAGTAATAGATTACCTACGTGAGCATCTCGAGTGAGTGTAGATAGATACTGAAAACACTGGTAAAATGTGGCGTTGTTGACGCTATAAACTGTTTTAAAAATAGTTTCAGGTGTTGATGATTTTTTCATACTTCATTTCTTTCATGCCCATCATTGTTCAAATATGATCTTTCAGTATCTGGCATTTGACTGACCAATGACTTACCAAAGAACTGGTCTTGTTGCAATTTTAAAATTACAATCGCCATAACAAACAATTGCAAGTTTTGGTTACTCTAAGAGTTATTTTTAGTGTAGCTAAGTTTTTACACTTTTTTGATAATATGCACATAGCTGATTTGCATTAGCGCAAATGCTAAATTCAAAAATGCAGATCATTCCCAATTAGTTCGAAAATTCTGTCGCAACAACTTTTACAACTACATTTGATTCTTCCCCGGTTTTCCTTAACACTTCCATATTTTTCTCCCCTAATTTTTGAAGAGATTAAACATTTACAAACTCAGTCTAATTTGTGTTATCTTGTACTTCTGCAATTTCTCTATTGTTTTGTTAGCGAATCTAATTTTGCATGCAAATCTAACATTAAAAGGCGTCTGTTATGTATCTTTATGTGAATTAGGTATAAGTTAAGTTTAATAAGAATAAGTTGTGTGTCACATTCATTTGAAAATCGGTATTTGCACACTTACGTAAGAACGAAAAAATGTCGAACATAACAACGTTCATTAATACTCTAGCTCATTACTCACAGTTTTGTTTTTTCCGAATTTACTTGGAATTCTTCAAGTTTAATAAGTTACGTGGCAATACTGCTTGTAGGTTGTTGAAACTTTATATTTAAAAATACGACAGTTGGAATCTGGGTGGATTGCAAACTGCAAATTGATAATTCAATTGTCCACTTAAAGAAGTCATAATCAGTGTTGCCAACGTTGTGGAAGAAAATTATGGCGTATTAAGTTAAAATTGCCTTTGAGTAGTGGTATTTAATAACCTCCACTTACATAGATCGATTTAAGAGGCGTTGATTTAATTCCCGCCGTTATAATTAAGATTACAGCGCCAAAACACGATAAAACACGTTTTTGCAAATTTAATTGACTCTTATAGTCGGATTTGAACACAAATTATCCGTTCCCCATCAGGAGACCGAGACGCATCCAGTGACTCCTCATGCGTCTCCATTGGTGCACGGGAGTGGTCTAGCCGCGAGTGATGGAACCGCACACATACGTATAAACGCACATCCACATATTCAGAGTTTTACTGAATTACTGTAGAGGGACTTTTGATTCTTCCAATATAAACTCTCCTGTTTACTAAAGTATTGAGTGAATGTCCCCTTTGATTGTTTAAAGTGAAACTTTACGAAACTGTAAAAAATGTCTTAATAACAAGTCTTTAACACAAGAGTTAAAATTCAAGGCATACCCTATGTTCTAATTTTTACTAGCCTACCGTTAGCAACAATGTAATTATTAGAACAGTAGAACAGAAGTGTTCAAAAAATCCGTGGCCTCCTGTAAACTACTATCAACATTAGTTTGTCATCTTTTACATTATGAATAGTTGGGATTGGGAGTTTTATTTTTGAACGGATATTGATCGCTCAAAATCTAAATATAAAACACTAGTAATTCCATCCAAATGAAAATGAACTACAATATACTTCTCACTTTAAAGACGTATTGAGAACGTTAGATTCGTAATACATGATATTTAAGGTTCGAAAATTAAGTAGGTTTTTAAAAGTATTTTGCTTACAAGGAAAAAAGGTTGAAGGAATAAAATTAGGTAATTGGTGTGAATAGTGCTCGTTTTCTTCTATTTGAAACATTTATCATTTTTATAAACTGTGATATATGTGAGTAATTTTGTATACGCCTACAACAACAAATAGTAGTAAGCAATGTAAATAACCGTGTGATATATTTAGTTGATTTTGTGGTTGCTCGTTTGAACACTAAACTTAAATGAAATATGAGAGATAATTCTACCCACGACTCTTCGAAAAGGAAGATGATTGCTTTTCTAATTTACAAATAATGTAAAACGCCAAATTAAAGTAATGAGGCTGGTGCATCGAAATTAAGTATGTCACACATCTTTGACGCAGAAAATTCGATCATCAAATCCTATCTTCTCAAAACTCGTACTTACTTGAACTAATATACGTAATGATCAAAACTGTTCAATTGTGTTCCTGCAACTCTCATTAGTTTTTGATAAATTAACAAAGCCATACAAGATGTTTTGAATACTACGAAGACAAGAGATTTAAAGTGTCTTGGAGTCTCTCATATTGACGTTTAATGTATTATTTTATGAAACTTGTCATTAGTCTACAAGTCGGTTTTTGTCCGTTTCATTAAATGGTTTTAGTCAAGTGTCGTTTGAGTATCTCATATTGTTGAAATATGAAACGAGGACATATGAAAGACTATTAGTCTGTTACCCGCACGTATGTCTGCAGTGTAACAGTGTTAAGTTTTTTGTCCTTATTTCCATCATTAACAACGGCACGGCTAGAGATAATATCGACACAGGAATGATTATGTGTACTCGTTTTTATTTGTCATTAGCCTACTAAATAGAATGCTAATATTATAGGGGTGCAATCAGATTTGGATTCTAATTTCAATTATCCAAACGAAATATGTTTGAAACGTTTCCCGTTTTTGACATATAAATAGAAGTGCTTCAAACTTCTGATGAATCGGTGGGTGTCTAAACCTCTATAAAATGTATGAAATTCAAAGAATTTAAGTTTCTAGGTTTATCAGTTCTAATACAGACACCATAACAAACTTAAAAATCCGCACTAATATATAAGTTTTTTTTAAATACTGGAGAGTGAAAAGAGAAATGTGATATTTATTTGGAGGAAACAGTTTCCACCAATACAATGACTAATAATTTCGGGTCTTTCTAAACAAGAGATTTAAACTCTAAATCTACAAAAGTTTTGTACATCACCAAAGATTATCCGCCACCATATCGTTTAGATTTAGATTTCTCAGACAAAAAAGATAGGTAATTTTCAATAATTGCCTGGAATGATAATTCCTAGAATATGATCTGGGCTTCTCTCATTTAACAACCTGTATTTGATTTTACTGAAAAACACATGTCAGACAATTATAATTTATTAAATATTAATTATATGACGTAATCATAATATGATTTAACATATTACGTACGTGGCTATTAATTGTTTGATATAAACGACGTGTTGTTTCTGTCAATTATGTACTATGTGGTAAATAATTTTATGAAGAAAATCAACCAATCAGGGGACAAGTATGCAGTTGTGGTGCGCTAATGATTGGCGGGTTGCCTATAGCTTCCCAACTTCTCTCCAATACCCTCAAGTCAACGTCCCGGGTTAGATCTGTAAACGAGCAGGTAAACGTTTTTAGCAATTATATTTGTTCAATGTCACCTTAATCGTGATAGGAACCCTGTAAATTCGGTAATTCCTGCTTTACGCCTTTGAATGATATCCAATTCTCCACCCTGTTGCCTTATTGGAGAGGCAATTTCAACGGAAATGTTCGTGTTGAGTTGTTGTTGGCCAAATAAAAGAGTCAGGGTTGATAATTTAGCGTGGCACGATTCTTTAGGTTCCTTTTATGATTCATTATTTCTCGTGATTCCTAAGTTTATGATGGCACGGTTCCCTTGAATTCACAGACTCAGGATCTGCAGGAAAGGCGTGTGTGAGAGTGGGCGCGCCACTCCATTTACCGGAGGGGATCCGCGCGTGGGCGAGGCGTCGCCCGCGGGCTCCGAGCGCCCGCCGCCGGGGGGCGGCGCCACAGGGGGCGGCTTGACCGGCGCGGGGGCAACGTTGGGGCGGGTGCCGCGCGGAGGGTGTGGGCGCGCCTGCGTGAGGGGACGCGGGTGACGCGGGCCGCCGCCCCGCGCCGGTCTGCCGCGCCGGTGAATCCGCGCAGCTCACGCAGCGACGGCGCTTGCGCGCGCGGTCGTTCGTACGCGGCGGCGACGGCGCGTTGACGGCGGCTGCGGCGGCGGCCGGCGGCGGCGGCGGCGGCGACGGCGGCGACAGCGTCGGGTGGTTTACGCTCAACGGGCGGAGGCCCGGCGCCCGAGGCCCGATGCGGGCCCGGCATCGTC